TCCTGATTTTAAATATTTTAGTCTTCTTGTGTTTTGTTTCTTGGAGGAGCTTAATGATTATGTGATTGTGGCAGTTACTCGTCATGATTATCGAAGTTATAGCAAAGTTAGTGTGTGTAGAATGAGTAATAATTCTTGGATAACAAAAACAGCCCATAAGCTGGAATGTATTTTAATGTGATTGTAGCTAATGCTGTGGTTAAGGGATCCTTTTGTTGGTGGTTAGCACAAGAATTAGATTTTATTCGTAATGTGATCCTTTCATATGATGTTCTAAATGAGGACTTTCAGGAGATAAACTTTCCCGATGTTATTCAACGCTACAATGAGGATGTTCCAATTCTACATTTTACTAAGTTAAGGGATTCGCTTGCTGTGGCTGTTTAAAATTTTTCAGATTATGAGGGAATGTATTCATATGAGGTTTGGGTTTTGAATGAATATGGCAAAAAAGAATCATGGACGGAAAACTTTACTACCCCATTTCCTAGATATAAGTTCTTTTTGGCTTGTCACGAGAATATCGAAGGAGAGCTTATTTTTGTAACCCAAAGATTCGGTGATGATCGTTTACAAGAGCTTACCACGTATGATCCCAGAAATCAAGAAACAAAAGCTTTCCCAAATACTGGGATTTCACTTCAGGCGCCTTTTATTTATGCAGAGAGCTTAGTTACAGTTAATATGTTGATGGAAGAAACGAATTAACGAATTGCCAGAAGAGTTCCAATCGAAGGAAGATGTGTTGATTTTAGAAATATTGTTTTAGCCTAATTTGCATTGCGTTTTAAACTATATTTAACAAACTGCATTTGCTGTATTTATTGGGAACTCAGCTATTCTGCATAACAAATCACAACGGAGAAGAGTTTTTCGTATATTATTGTTATAATTTAGTCATATCCATTGCATATTTTATTATATTATGCTTGGCCAATTTGCTACTAGCTCAGCTTTCGAGTGTTTACCTCAGTGTTAAAAAATTCAAGAATTCAGATATTGATACATCTCTTTGCAAATTTTTGCTGTAACAAATGAATAAATATCTGTAGCTATGGAAAATTGATTGAGAGATAAAAATCTTTTCAAGCTTCTTAAACCTGACACAACATTTTCATCTTTTTGTTCTTGGATTAGTCTAAACATTTTAGACACTTTCGACCAAAATTTAACAAATTTAACAAATTTAACAGATTTGGCTAAAAAAGGAGTTATTTAGCAGATTGGTGGAAAAAATTTAACAGGTTAGAGTTTGTGTGCAAAGGGATTTTTTTGGCTTCGCTATAAAGAGATTGTATTTGGTTTTATTTCCAACTATTTATTTTCTTATCTCATCTCAAGAGAAATAATAGTTGTCCTTTATGAGTTTTGTACTGTTTTGGTTCCATATTTTTTTTACCTAACATTTTTGGATGAGATTCGGTTGTTTGGGATGAGCCTATTGACTTAAGTTTAGACATTTGAAAAATGTTAAATTTTTTCTGCATTTATAAAAATCAAAATAATTAAATTGCCTATAAAAAAAGAATGAGTTACTGGTGAGAAAACAAAAAAAAAAGATTTAATCAGTTAATTCTAATTTTAATAGTGATGTGTGTGGCTAATTGTAATCTCTTTAAGATTTTAATTCATGACTACATTCGGCTCGAGTACTACACAGTCCATATAGGGTCGACTCTCTGGCGTGGCAATTTCTATATTCAGAGCTCGAATTTTATATCTAAAATTTAAACTCAAGACCTTTAGTTAATGGAGATTTCTATATTCAGAGCTCGAATTCTATATCTAAAATTTAAACTCAAGACCTTTAGGAGATTTCTATTATTCAGTTTAAGCTCCGAGATGTCTTATATCTAAAATTTAAACCAAGTGAACCTTTAGGTTAATCAGGAGAATTTCTATTATCAGTAGCGTCGAATCGTATTACTAAAATTGTAAAAACTCAAGGACACTAGTTTAATGGACTGAATTTCTATATCAGAAGTCGAAGTTTTATATTAAAATTTAAAGCTCATATATCTAAAATTTAAACTCAAGACCTTTAGTTAATGGAGATTTCTATATTCAGAGCTCGAATTCTATATCTAAAATTTAAACTCAAGACCTTTAGTTAATGGAGGAGTCCCGACCAACGTTAGTTAATTCATGTGTTTTTTTTATTTAAGATAATCATTTAATTCTAACCGCAATCCGAGTTAAATAGAAAGATCCTAATAGTGTTATATATATAGGTTATATCCTTGAGTTTTCAGACATAAAGAGAGTGGCAAAAGAAAATAGGCAGCTATGAATTTATTGGAGGATATCGTGAGAGACATTCTTTCAAGAATACCAGTTAAATCGTTGATGAGATTCAAGTGCGTACAAAGATCATGGCTCTCCCTCTTCGAAAACCCTAATTTCATAACCCAACACCTCAATCGCTCTGCTTCTTCTAAAACTCTCATATTTTGCCATTATGACTACGAAATCTCCACTTCATCTATTTCTGACTCTGATGATGATATTCTAACTCCTGTTATTCTTCACAAACCTTCTGTTCTTGAGGGTTCAGATATTCTGGGTTCATGTAATAATGGTCTTGTCTGTCTCTATGCTCCTTCTGGCTCCTTATATTTATGGAACCCAGCTACTAGAGAATATATAAACACTGGTTATCCGATTCCAGATACTAAATATTATTATTGTGTGTATTATGGACTGTTGGGTTTAGTTTTTTTGAGGAGCTTAATGATTATGTGATTGTGAGAGTTATTTTTCATGATAATCGAAGATCATATGACGAAGTTAGTTTGTATAAAAGGAGTAGAAATTCTTGGATAACAAAAAAAAAAAACCTCTAAGTTGCAAATTGATGAAGTTGGTATAGATTTTGAGTCTAAAGCTGTGGTAGAAGGATCCTTTCATTGGCTTGGATTGGAAGAAGATAGACATGGTAAAGGTATGCGATTCTTTTGTTTAATATTCTAAAAGAGGAGTTTCAGGAGATAAATTTTCCTTATTCTCTTCGATGGGAATTGCAAGAACTGGATATTTTCAAGTCAAAGGATTCATTGGCTGTTCTTGTTATGATTGGTAATGTTCATATGTGAAGAAACTACGATGTTTGGGTTATGAATGAATCTGGTATAAAAGAGTCATGGACGAAAAAATTTACCATCGGATCATTTTTTGGATATGAGATGCTGTTGGGATGTCAGGAGAATATTGATGGAGAGATTATTCTCCTAAATTATACCCATGGAATAAATAATGTAACAGAGCTTGCCAAGTATGACCACAAGAATCAAGAAATCAAAATTTTCAAATTGAAGGGACTTCAGTTTGGACGGCTCTTACTTATGTAGAGAGCTTAGTTCCAGTTACATCATGTTGATGGAAGAATCCATAGAAATAAGATAAATGGAGCGTGCTTGTGTTATATATATATATATATATATATGTTATATATATATATATATATATATATATATGTGTGTGTGATATATATATATATATATATATATATATGTGTGTGTGTGGGTTAGCATATATACTTTGTCAAAATTGTCGCATTTTTTATGGAGGTTTTGTCTTGTCCATGTCTCATGTTTATGTTATGTTTTCTCTGCAAAAGATAAAAAAACGTAATGCCATGGAAAGAAGATGTGTTGATTCTAAGAATATTGTTTTAGCCTGTTTGTGATTATGGAAGCCATGACAAAGTTAAAGTTAATGAGTATTAATGGAGTAGAAATTCTTGGACAACAAAAATAACCTCTAAAGTCGAATTCTATATTTTGAAGTTTGATTCTTTCGTATTCGAAATGGGGAGTTTCTGAAGATAAAAATTTCCCGATTTCTTCAAGAATGGGAATCAGAGAGAATGCTTATGCTGTTCTTGTTTGTAAAGAAAGAAACTTTGAGGTTTGGGTTATGAATGAATATGGCATAAAAAGAGTTACGGACTGAAAGTTACAATCGAAACTTTTTTTGGATACAAGAAGTGGTTAATTAGGATGTCAGGAAAATGTTGAAGCAGAGGATATTGTCCTAAAATTCTACCGATGGCTCATATAATGTAAGAGAGGTTACCAAGAATGACCCCAAGAATCAAGAAATCAAAACTTAGCCAATTCTTGGGGATTTGATTTAGTTTTGTCGACTGTTGTTTGTTGTGTAGAGAGCTTAGTTACAGTAAGTTGATGGAAGAAACCAATAGAGTTCTTTATACATATTTGTTATGTTCTAAATCCTAGTCATATCTATTGGTTTGTTGTAGAACATTCAAGAATTCAAATATATAAAGCTTGCATGCACCTAGTGTATAAATCCACCCACATACAACAATTCAAAATTTTCACCTAAGAAAACTGTCATACTATTTTATCCTTTTTTCCAGTTTAAAAACAGTTAATATATCATACTTTATACTCATGATCTATGATTTATCAAAATACCTTAAATACATTAGAATGGTAAAAGAAATTTTCACAATCAAGCCTTGCTTTTTCAAGTAAAATTGAGGCTTTTGTATTTAAATGAAGTAATCAAATTCATTAAATATTACTAAACCTTATATCATAAATACAGGTAAATGATTATTTGATGGAAGTCTTCATAATAAAGTCAAGTAATTATCATTAATAAATGAAAATAATAAAATATTGTCAAATAAACAAGTGTCTTTTGTTAATAGACATCTACAATAATAATTTAATATTATTATTATTATTATTATTATTACATAACTATTTAATAGAACTTTACTTGATAGAAATACAATCAAAACAATTTTTTTTAGGAAACAAAATACACTCATCTTTTTTCTTTTTTTTTTTTTTTTTTTCTTTTTTTTTTTTTTTTTTTTTTTTTTTTTTTTTTTTTTTTTTTTTTTTGTATTTTTTTTTTTTTTTTTTTTTTTTTTTTTTTTTTTTTTTTTTTTTTGTATTTTCTTATCTTGCTTATGTTTTACCCAGCTAGCCCTACTGCATAAATTGAATAATAGAACACAAAAACAATAATAAAAACAAAAAACGAGCCCCTGAACATTTCACTCCGTAGATAAAATCTCAAATTAAAATACAAATTATTCAAGAAAATGAAGCCAAAGACCATTAGAGAGTCCGAACTGTAAACAGCAACTGTAGCTAACATTCTCCCCATTTTTACAGGATCATGCAGAGACTGGAGTCCTAACTGTAGAAACCGTTTTTGTCGTCGACAACTGCTGGCTATTAACAGCTAACATCTTATTCAATGCACCAATATAGGCCTTCACACTTGAAACAACAATGTCCATTCCAGCACCAGATCCACTAAAGTCCAAAAAAATAAAATATTTATTATCGGTATATTAATGCGCAAAGTAGTTTTACCAACTTAAAATAAAGCTTAAGTCATGAAAGTGAAATACCTGAATGTCCGTCGAGATGGTTCACCTGTTATAGCATCAATTTTATGGTTGTCACCACAAATTAAAACTCGGGTTGTGGCTATAGCATCAATGCCTCCAGTAACAGCAGTCATTGAGTATTCAAGGAGTTCAACAGGTTCCTGAAACATGGAGAAGCAGACACAAATGAATCAATTTCGCTAAATAACTTTCGCACTCCAGCAGAAAGCAGATCAAATATTTAAGTGGGGAAAGGAAATCAAATAGATGAAATTTGCAGGTGCACTACACTCTAGTGGGGAAAGGAAAACATAACAATCGCACTGCTAAGATTTGACCTACATTTTCAACATCCCAGACAATTACAAGTAATTTTAAAATTCACTAAGGCGCCTATTTGATCAGTTACGGTGTTCTACAATAATCAATATTGAATCCTACTTTTACACTTCTTGAACTCTAACTCTCTCTTACTCTAGTAAGCTGTATCAGTTACAGACTTAGTTGATTTTCTGCAGAATACCAATTCTAATCCCACTTGAATAAACCTTATAAAAAAAATCAATTGACCTACCAAAAACCATCATTTATTAAACCTTTAAGCACCTACTTGTGCATTTCTAGCCAGCTAGTTTTGTTCACATCAATCAGACCAGAAATATTCACCATCCAAAAATCTGTGCCCATAGATGAAGTCAACTCCACTAACCCCCAGTCTAGATGGACATGCCTATCTGCTTAACACCTCACTTTAGTGTACCTGTTGAAATACGGATTCCTACTCTACCAAACAAAAGCACGGCTTAAATCTTGTGTAATATTATAATACACACACAGACATACAAATCGCACATATTTTTAACATTAAACCAATTAGTTTCCATCCAAGAACCGCAACCTAAGCTTTTGGTTTCAAACCTAAAAATCTAGGTTGAACCATAAATCATAATTCTGACACTGGAGAACACAATACTCCCCTATGGCCTTGGTTTGATTATGGATTTTCTGGATCTGATCCATGACTGCGACCCAGTGATTATTCATGAAAGTTCTCAGCCAATCTATTTAGAGCCCATTTAGCATTTTGCATTGCAAATAACAGATTTTGAGAGTAACCACATTGGCCCAATAGATATAGCTACTTGCAATAGAGTTTTCTATGGGCCCAAAATTAATTTAGGGGAAGTAACATTTGATCTTTTCCCAAAATAAGTTTTGGATCCATAGAGAAAAATCTATTACAAGTAGCTACATCCACAGGCCAATAATTGTTACTAATTTTGGCCTAAAATCAGCTACTTGTAATAGCAATGCCAAATGGAAGTATTTTTGCAGGCAAATTTGTACTTAACCTTCACAATGAGATCAACTGCCTTGTATGCTGCATCTACTGGCCCAGTTCCAACTGAACATGCAATGTGCTGTTCACCATTGGCATCAATGAGCTTAACAGTTGCAGTAGAGAGACCAAGTGTTCCGCAAGTAATCTATATGTGGGGTACATTTTAGTAGAAATAACTTATTAGAGAAGTGAAGTGGCTATGATAAAACAACACAAATGGAGAAATAAAAGAAATTTACCTGCAGATCACCAAGCTGCCATACAATTTCTGGCTGAAAAACTTCATCTGATACTAATGCTAACAGGTCAGCATCAGTAACTCTCTGGGACATGAGCAATTCAAGAAAGTCACCTCAACAGATAGAACCAAAAAATGAAGAATTCCACCACAAAAAAGTCCTCCAGCTCATGGTTTGCTTTCAAATCAGAAATTGAAGCAATCCAATTAATAATTTTGATTACTATACCTTTATATATTTGTTATGATTTTCTTGTTTTTATTTTACAGGCATAAACAGCTCCTCTGCATAAAAGTAGGGGGAAGGCTGTGTACATCAACCCTCCCCAAAGTCCATACATGTGGGATGCTTCGTGCAATGGGTAGCCCTTTTTTTACTGTTTTACAGGAATAAATCATGTCGTCTATAGATTTTGATAGAAAAATCTCATTGGATTTAGGCTGCGTTTGATACAAATGAGTTGCACAAAAATTCATAGAATTCACTTGGAATTCTAAGCTTTCAAGTTTGGTATAACTGAAAACTTTCATTTTACTCCTTAAAACTAAAATTTATTGAATTCAACACAATAAAGACAAATTCTATTGATTGCAAATGGCTTCTATAGTTCAAATTAATTTATACCCAACAAGGGAATAATTCAATTGAATGGTCAAAACCAAACTAGCGAATGAAACAAACCATGGCATTTTACATTGATTTGGTTAAATACTTCATCCAGTTTGAAAAACTCCCACCAAATTGCAAATTAGGTAATGCATCTCTCTCCACAAAATTCCGAGAGAGAGAGAGAGAGAGAGATGTCAGAACACATTCACAGTGAAATCATGAAACTCAAAGCTCAAAGTGCCTATGGTTAACATGTTTATCCAAGGCAGACTATTACTATAAGACAGCTGCATAATCCTGGAAAACCTCCAAGACATCCAAAGAGCATACAATACATGCAAATAAAATAAGAGGAAAATAAATTCAAGGGTTGTCCAATTTTATTTTTAGTTCTAAAAATGTAGACGATTAATGGATGTCAAATACTCAGAAACTTTATACTACCGATGAATTTGGTGGATAAGAAAATAGGGCGTTAGGACTCTGGAGGTATGCTGTAAATATAACATCCACCCATTTCCATTACATTCCAAAATAAAATCCAGGAAAGGTTAGAATGACAGCCTCAATTTTCTTTCCTTCACCCGTGGTCATTGAACTCACTGAATGTATAGTGCACCTGGTGAACTTCAAATTTCTATAAACCAGGTAGCTCAACTTTAACTTTGATTACGTTCCAATAAAGTCTCTATTGTCAAATTTTTATACGGATGTTAGTCAAAAAGTTTATGTCCTAAGTCCTAACTAAGAAAGAACCTATATCTAGTACTAGCGTAATAGAAAATTTATTTTGACCATTATATCAAAGATGTCGGATGGCATTGTATGACCTTAATGAAACAAAAATTGGTGTTAAGAGCTTTCACTAATAAAAATAAAATTAATTTATAGTGCTGAAAGAAGTAACGAGTACTATAACCATTGGTGACATTGAGCACAAAGAATGTCCATAGTTCATCTTTACCTTTTTGTTTTCAGCAACAGACTTGAAGCGCCAAAAGATATTGCCAAGTTGCTCATCACTCAACTCATAACCAAGCTGAAAGAAACAATAATATCAAATGGTTAAAGCACAACGACTACGAGGAGAAGAATTAATCAACTCTCAAATGTGTGAACCTTTATTTACCTCTTTGAGTCGATCTTTCAAAGCATGGCGACCACTTCACATAAAAAGCGAAAAGAAAGCAGGAAATGTTACAATATGATTAAATTTGTAGAGACTAGAGAACAAGTTGCAGCCAATAAATACCCATGATATCATCCATCATAAACAACATATATTTAAGTAAAGCAGCATATGACAAAGAAGAAGTCATTTTTTTGGTACATCAGAAAGTCTTATGAGGGGAATGGGAAGCTAGGGTTTGAACCCTTAAACATTACAAAACGAGCATTCGACTACTAAGCTACTAGCCCAACAACATCTATCTTCTAATTTTAAGTGACGGATATCATTTATTTCCTCATTTACAAGACCAGTAAATCAGCTACCTCTACTCATAAATTAGTCAAAGGAGAACCAATACCAACTATGAAAATTAGAGTTAATACCAGATGCGCACAAACACACATTGGAGAAGCTCCTAAAGCATAACGAAAAGTACTTGCCTACACTGTACATATATTCCTCATAGATACCAATCACCCTAATGATCTAATGGCACCGGCAGTAGAGTTCAATGTGACCGTATGCAGAATAATAAATGTTTCAAATGTAGTCATTATAAGAAATAACAAGAGATAAACAATAAAAGAAAGACAAAGTGTTGTATTATAACAATGAAGATGAGCGATACCTAAGTTTTCCAAGGACAATCCCAGCATCATTGGCTCGTTCAAGCCCAATATCTTCAGGGGACATAATCTCATAAGTACCTTTATGTTTTAGCATTCCATCCTAGAGAACAGAAAAAATATATAGAAACGTGTGTCATTAAACAATAAGTTAAAAAGGAAAAGACTTCAATATACCATTACTAAACATGGGATATTTTGCATGATAGGCAACTGCCAACTGGCAATGGAACTCCATGCAACAATAAACAAATGGGCCAAGTATTTTATGCAAGTACATTAAAGTTCCAGACAAAATATTATTAGAAAACAAAAATATATCATAGACAAACCGTGTACACAACATTACATAAAGGTGTCAAATAATGTTCACAATATTACTAGGAAAAACAAAACTCAAATGAAGGCTGTGAATGTAACCTAATCTCTGCAATATCAAATATCAACATGCTTCTTAACAAAAAGGGCCCATATAAAGATTACAACAAGAAATGTTTAACACACACCAATTATATGATCATAAAGTAAGCTCATAAAACAATAAACTCTTGTTGTTTGCAGTTCAACCTGATGTATGCCACTTTCATGAGCAAAAGCATTAGCTCCAACAATTGCCTTGTGTGGCTGCACGTGCAAACCAGTATATTCTTCCACCTAAAAATTCAATGACAAGTAAGAAGAATAACAAAAATCACATTCACTAAAGAAGAATCACATATTCTGAAACAAGAAAATATATTCTCAAAAATTCTTACCATCTTGCTTGCCATAGTGATGTGTTTAGAATTAATTCCAGTATAAAGACCTCCTAAAACATGCTCTCCACGACATTTTATAGCCATTACAACCTGAATACTTGCAATTAAAATAAACACAAAACAAAATATAAATTCAAAAATATTAGTGAATGAAACAATTGAAGCAGAAAGGATGTGATAAGAACATATGAACATGAACCAAAATAAATGCATCAACACCCATTAAAGAAGTGAACTCTGAATGACATAACTTTAGAAATATGACCCTGCTTCAGAAATGCATTACAGCGCAACTCTACAGACACACGAGCTTATATAACTCAGTTACCTATTCAAAGAATCAATGCAAGAAATCATAGGAGGTCACAAGCTCATTGCACAACAACAATGATTGTTTTAGGCAACAATTTAAAAGAATAAAGTCCAATCACTTTATACAACTGTGATTGTTATACTAAGCGTCGGTTAGGGCAGAGATCGAAGCAGTTATTGGAGTTCGTTGATTCTAAGTACATGAAAACATGTTTTTACATCGATTGCTAGTACAACATTTAAATTTCCCTCCCCTATATTAGTCTAAGAAGCTCTCTTTGGAATGTTTTGGCTCCATCCGAGGGTAATCTTTGGCACATTTGGTTGGATAGGAATGAGGTTGAGAGTGAAAAAGTTAATCAATACTAATTCTTTTAGACGAAAGATGAATCAGACATTTCTAGTGGTTCCAGCTAAATAAATTTAAGGGAGCATGCTGTAGCGTTAGTGTGACTTCCAAGCTACTGATTAGGATAGCTTAGCATCACCTTTTGTTATAACTGGTCATGGAAATTATATTTGGACTTCTTTTTAACCAATATTAAAAGAAAGAATGGCAATAAAGATGCAAGGCCAAACAACTGGCAAACTACTTTATGAAGCACTCCAGTGATATAAAGCTTCATTTTCATTTAATAAAATGCAAGTTCGACAGAAACACTAATATCTGTGCACAAATAGACACTCACCTCCTCCAATGAAGCATTACCAGCTCTTTCACCAATTCCATTGACTGTTACTTCCACTTGTCTGGCACCTGCATATGTCCCCTGAATTTAGTAAAGTACGAATGTGAGTGCTTAGCTTCCATTGCAGTGAGCATTAAGTAGAATTTAGAACAATGACATACTGCTAAGGTGTTAGCCGTAGAAAGTCCAAGATCATTTTGGCAGTGTGTTGAAATAATGACATTTTCAATTCCAGGCGTATTAGCTCTTATATCAGCAATCAACTGTCCAAATTCACTAGGCAGCGTTATACCAACAGTATCAGGAATGTTAAGAGTTGTAGCACCGGCCTTGATAACTTCACCCAAAATATGGTACAAGAACTCTCTGTCAGATCTGGTAGGCAATTCGGAAAAACAAGGAACACGAATCAAAAGAAAGCATATGAGCAAACATATATTCATATTTCTAACAAGAAGTTTGTCGCACTTGGGTTTACACTTTAAGGAGTCATGTGAGCATAACAATAACATTAAAATTGCTAATTTATTAAATAAGACGAGCATCCAAAATGAAACTGTAAGGTGTAAAATTAAGAATCAGCCTACAGTTAAAAATTACTGCTCTTTAACAGTCATGGAGAATCATAAAAGCAGAACAATCACATCACCAAAAAAGAAAGTTAATGCCAGGCTCAGTTCAGAGATCCCAAGTGTTAAAAGATAGATCAATGTTCTTTTACATGGCAATACAGACAAAAAATAATTTCAAGTAGCATATTGACTGATCACTCAAGACGGCAATCTGAAGTTTTGAGAATAATTATACTTGCTAAAGAACCAACCAAGGAATATTATTAGTCCTCTTAACCCAAAACAATAAGAAATTAGCAATAATATATAATTACTGTAGAAAAACAGCCCTACGTTCCTATGTCGAACATAATACCATTTTGCTCAAGTGGATCCGAATTCCAAGTAAAAGATACCTTCTTTCACCTGCTATCACTAAAAACAAATATAATTTCCTACTGTTTAACCAGCTGTTTCAGTAAAAGCATAAAGAGATCAGTAATCTCTCTCCTATCTCAACTCATTTACTTGCTTACCCAGAAAAAGGAAAACATTTTTGAGAGGAGATTCAACTCAACTTCGCCCAATATCCTTTCCTAAGCTCAGGAATGAATGAAATAAAACATATTGGGCCTACTGCCTGTTTAGCTGATGCTACTACAAAATTCCATTAGGATCGAGTAATTCCAGGACTCTTATTCCAAAATCATTTTTCAAATTTAAGAATATCCTAATATTCCAAACCTGCCAGCATCTTCAGGGCTAAATTCGACGTCATCACAACCCAAACTCCTAGCAAACTTAACCATATTTGTAGCGATCTCCACCACCTCCTCTTTACTCTTCCTCAACTTGTACTGCATATGGATCTCACTCGTCGCAATGAACGTGTGAATCCTCGGCCTCTTGGCATACTTCACAGCCTCCCAGGCAGTTTTGATGTCCTTCTCATTGCACCTCGACAATCCACAAATAACCGGTACGTATCCCTCATCATCCACCGCATTACCCACTTCTTTAGCAATGGTTTTCACAGCCTCAAAATCATCATTAGATGCCGCAGGAAATCCAGCTTCTATTATGTCGACGCCGAGCTTCGAAAGATGGCGAGCGATGTCAAGCTTTTCCTTGGAGGTGAGAGTGGCGCCGGGAGACTGTTCGCCATCGCGGAGAGTAGTATCAAAGACACGAACATAGAAAGGGTCTGGGATGTGGTTAGGTATGTACTCTGGACGGCGGCGGCGAGGGGCGGCGGGAGAGGGAGATGGTACGGCGGAGGATGATTGGGAGCAGGAAATGGTGGTTCTGAGGAGGGACTTAGAGGATGGAAAGGAAAATGAGGTATTTGAATGGAAATCAGACCATTTAGAAGTGAAATGGAGGAGAGGAGGAGAGAGGTTTGAAGATCTGGAAGTGATTTGAGAGACGGATAATTTTGGCGTTGTGGAGATGAAGGTCGCCATTGTTGAACCCTGTGAAAGAATCAACATAACGATGATAAACCCTAGACTAGAGTGTATTTTAATGGCGAGGTTTAAGTTTAACCGTTCAAGCGAATTTTTTAACAATATAAATAAAATTTTCTTCCGTTGCTAGTAATATAAAATAAAAATAATAATAACTTTTATTTTTCTAATTCTCTTACATACTTTTGTATAAAATATATATTTTCAAATTATTAAAAAATAATTATTCATAATAATCATTAATTAATTAATTTTCACAAAAAGAAAATAGGTCCAAATTTACAATTTAAGATAATTATATAGAATTTTTTGTAACATTAATGTTTCGATATCTATAAATTAATTCAAGATGTGCAGTTAATTTGTAATTAAATCATATCTAGAATTCATTCGTAAATAAATTCAAAAATTAAAAATTCATTTGCTTTTATTTTTTATATAGATATTTTTGATATAAGGCCGTGTTCAATAAATACTATAAGCCATTTTTTTTCCCCATGGCTATTTAATAATCATCTGCTAGTTTGGAAGCAGATAAATGAGGGAGATAATCCTTTGTTTATACCATTAATGCACTCTCCTGTTTGGGTCCAAGTTCATGATCTACAACATGGGTTTATGTCCACAGAAATGGCAAAGCAGTTAGGGGATTTTATAGGGACTTTTATTGAATATGACCCAAAAGTATGTGTTGATTACGATAATGAAAAGTTTATGAGAATGAAGGTTGTGTTGGACATTAGAAAGCCATTGAAGAGAAGGAAAAGATTGGTTGATGATAATAACTTAATGTTTTATGTTCGGTTCAGATATGAAAAGATGAAAACATTTTGTTATCTCTGTGGAATCATTGGACACACAGATAATTTTTGTGTGGTGAACTGCGATTGAAGAAGAGAGGATGAACTGATCGTAATGGCTTGGGATGAGAGTTTGAGAGGCTACAACCTTCGGCCGGAGCAGCCGGAGCTGGATACGGAATAGGGAAGGAGGATTTTTAGGCGCAAATCAAGGAAATTTGAATGAGTAAAATCTGGATAGGGATCCAATTATATCACGTGATTATAGGAATCATCTTACCTCTGGTCAACTATATTTGGGTATGGGCAATTCACAAGAAAAGATGGACTGTGATTTAGAGGGTGATGAAGTGGGGCCAAGTACATCTCAACCCATTGACTTAAATGAAGACATGCCTATGCAAAAGTCTAAGGAAATAAAGAAAAGGCAACGTAGCTTAAAACAAATAGCAGATGGTGTTTCTTTGCACACTCAGGATTCCTCATCAAGCTCAAACCCAGTTAAAAATATGGCTGGTATTCAGGCAGCGGCTGATCCTGCATTGCAGGATAGCCGAATGCAATGAGTCTCTTGAGTTGGAATTGTCGGGGCTTGGGCAATCCGTCGGGGCCTTGGGGCAATCCCGGCGCAATAAAGGGCATATGGATATCATCTGGTACTTATAGGCCTAGATGGATTTCCTTTATGTGAAACTTTAGTCTGCAACGTATCGAATGGAGAGTGTTGAATCGTTCTTGTTGGGTTTGATAATTGTTTTACGGTTGATTTGTGTGGGTAGGAGTAGGGGTAGTCTGCTTTGGATGAATAGATTTTGAAATAAATGTGACTAGTTTTCTAGCAAGTTTTATTAATGCGCTTCAGTTAAAAGTTCAAGAAAAAGTAGTGGAGAATAAGCTGGCTTTATGAGCTTTCCGGAAAGGCTCAAGGCGACGAGCTTGCATGGAATTTGGCTGTCGTAGCTTTAGCTAGCATTAGATAGGCAAACCGTGGTTGTGCTTGGGAGATTTTAACGACATTTTGACAGCGGATGATAAATTGGGAGGAGCAGCTGTCCAACGTCATTTGCTGAACGGTTTTTCTGATGCAATTTCAGACTGTGAATTAGTGGATATTCCTTGGGAAGGTTTTTGGTTTACGTGGGAGAAGAAGAGGGATGGGGTTGTGTATTGCAGGGAGAAGCTTGATAGAGTAATGGCAAATATGGGGTGGTCTTCTATGTATGTGAATGCTTTAGCTAAAATTATTACAGCCCCTATTTCTGACCATGCCCCATTATTTATTCAACTAAATTATAGACAAGTGGACAATAATTATAGAAGGTTTCGATTTGATAATAGTTGGGTGGGGGAGAGGGAATTGGATCAACTTGTCAAAGATGTTTGGTGTAATAATGATAGTGAGCCATTGTTACATAAAAGAGATGTTTGTATTAAAGAAATGGAAAGGTGGGGTCGGCAATTTAATAAAATATTTTGGAAGCAAAAAAGGATATTAAAGCAACGTATAGAAAATGCGAGAGATGGGTTTGATGATGTCACTGTTCAAAGACTAAAAAATGAATGGAATACTATTCTATTCAAAGAAGAGTGCCGAATGAGACAAATAGGGAAACAGAGATGGCTTTCTTGGGGGGATCAAAACTCCAAATATTTCCATGCTTCAATAAAAAATAGAAAAAGGAGAGCTAAAATTCTGAAGTTGGAAAATGAGGATGGCGATATAGTTCAAGATAATGACAGTTTGGAACAAATTACATTGAATTATTTTTCTACTGTTTATACTACTGAGTTTATAGTGCAGAAGAATGCAGTCGGGCATTGAAAAGTTTAAATCTTGTTACAAACCAAAGGTGACAGCTAATCCAGATACAATATTTTACGACTCCATTTACATTGGAATGAGATCTTTGAGAAGCTGCATTTTAATAATGCACCTTGACAAATCACCGATGGACCGGATGGCCCTACATCCAGGCGTTCTTTTCAAAAATATTTTGGGCATGTTATTGAGAGATGTCCGGCGTTCTTTCAAAAATTTTGGCATGTTATTGGAGATGATATTTGGAGGGACTGCAAACAATGGCTTGACACAGGTACTTTCCCAAAAACTTTGACAGATACCCATATTGTGTTGCTTCCTGTGATAATCCTATGTCGTTAAAAGAATATAGACCTATTTCGCTTTGTAATGTTTTGTATAAAATTGTAGCAAAATCTTTAGCGAATAGGTTGAAAAAAATCCTTCCTTTAATTATTGATGAATGTCAATCTGCTTTTGTTCCGGGGAGATTAATTTCTGATAATGTGGCAGTGGCTTTTGAATTAATTCACAATATTAAAAGTAGGAAGAATCAAAGGGGTGCTTGTGCATTAAAAATTGATATTTCGAAAGCATACGATAGGGTCAATTGGGAGTTTTTGAGGGGTATGATGCTAAGAATGGGTTTTTGTGAGAAGTGGGTGCAATGGACTAAGAATGGGTTTTTGTGAGAAGTGGGTGCAATGGATGATGTTATGTGTAACAGATGTGAAGTACTCTGTGTTATTGAATGGTAAGGAGGTGGGTCCTATTCGTCCTGGTAGAGGTTTGAGACAGGGCGATCCTTTGTCGCCTTACTTATTTTTATTCTGTGCGGAGGGTTTGTCTTTATTATTTCAGGATGCTAAAAGGAGAGGTAGATTGCAAGGTGTGAAGGTGGGAAGAAATTGTCCGAGCATTACACACTTGCTTTTTGCGGATGATTCTTTTTTCTTTTTTGAGGGTTTTACAGGAAGCAGAGGAGGTCAATGATATTTTGAAGAAATATGAGAGAGCATCGGGTCAGGCCATTAATTTGAATAAATCGGGTATCTTTTTCAGCCTGAATATGAGTAGAGAGTTGATGACTAATATCTCTACTATTTTGAATGTTGTTGATTCAATTGGTGGGGGTAATTATCTTGGTCTTCCATCTCTCATTGGCAAATCGAAAAAACAGGTGTTTGGCTTCCTTCAAGATAGATTTGAAAAAAGGATTGGCAATTGGTCTAATATTGAAAAAAGGATTGGCAATTGGTCTAATAGATTCCTCTCTAGAGCCGGAAAGGAGGTATTAATTAAGTCGATTGCGCAAGCTATTCCTACTTACTGTATGAGTGTGTTTAAAATACCTCTTTCTATATGTGTCACGATGCAAAAAAGAATGAACAAGTTTTGGTGGGGGAAAAAGGAAGGAGGGCGTAGAGGGATTCATTGGCTAGCGTGGGAGAGGATGTGTTGTAGCAAAAGGGAAGGTGGTAGGGGTTTTAGGGATCTTCACTGTTTTAATATGGCCATGCTAGCGAAGCAAGGGTGGCGCCTTATGATGGAGCCCGATACTCTTTTTTCTAAACTTTTCAAAGCCAAATATTTCCATAATAGGGATTTTTTGGACGCTCCTCTTAGTAGGCGTCCTACTTATGTGTGGAGGAGTATTCATGCTGCTATGGGGGTATTAAAACAGGGGGTACGATGGAGAGTAGGGAATGGGGAAACTATCGGTGTATTATCACATCCGTGGATGCCTTTGGATCATAGTTTTTGGGTGGAGGATAGTAGGGACTTTGTTGATCCTACTATGAAAGTGAGGGAGCTTTTTGTGGAGGGGGAAGGGAGATGGGATGTAGGGAAGGTGATGACACTTTTTAGCATGAGAGAGTTTAGAGCTATATTAGGGATTCCTATTAGTATTAATGCTAACAGGGACCAAATTATGTGGCACTGGGATAAAAAAGGCATTTATAGCGTTAGGTCGGGGTACTACGTGGCAAGGAGGTTGTTGAGGGGGAGGGTGCATGAGGGGAGGGTGCATAGATAGATGGGTGGATGGTGGGGTAAGATGGTGGTGTTTAGATGCTTCCCCTAAGACAGAAGATTTATGTGGGAGGGCTCTAAGGAATGTGTTGCCTACGAAGGAAGAGATTGAGAAGGAGAAGGGTGGAGGTTGATATTGGGTGCCCTTGTGTGGGGAGGATAGAAGGATATTAAATCATGCAATAGTGGTTATGTAGTAAGAGCCAAGGGAGTTTGGAGGCAAGGGGGGTAATGAAGTAAGGTGATATAAATAATTTTATCTTTTACTAACTTCTTTTGTAGGTTACTTGCTCATGGTGATAAAATAAAATCCCAAACATTTTTTTTGGTGTATGCTAGATATATTTGGATGGCACGAAATAATGCTCTTTGGAACAATATAAGAGACACGTGCTACACTACATTCTTGAAGGCAAAAGAATACATGATTAGTTGGGAACAT